TGAAAATCTTTCAAAAAAGAGACAAAAAATACAAATTTTACACAAAAAAACAAAAACTGAGGGATGAAATAATGAACAAACAGAAATAGTTAAATCATTAAAAGAAGAATATAAAAATTTGCCAAAATTAAGATTACTGATGAAAAAGATAATTTAGTTGTTAATACCGATGCCTCAGATAAATATTGGGCAGCTATACTAAAAATAGATTTAAATGAAATATGCAGATATTCAAGTGGAACTTTTAACCAAGCAGAAATAAATTATACTACTCATGAAATAGAATTGTTAGCAATTATTAGAGGAATAAAAGAATTTTCATTATTTTTATTATCTAAAAAATTTATTACTGAAACTGATAATTCTCAAGTTACATGATTAATTAAGAATAAACTTCCAATGGAACCTCAACATAGAAGGTTATATAGATGGCAAGCATATTTGTCATTTTATAATTTTGATATTATTCATATTAAATGTATAAATAATTATCTTACAGATTTTCTTAGCATGAATATCGAATTTGGAAATGGATGATATCAAAAACTTATTGATTGACGTCAAACGGCGAATGAAATTCCTAAAAGAGGAATCTGAAGATATCAAAATAGGAATTGAGCAAATGGCGGAACTATTTCAGCAAAATGTTAAATTGCTGATAGAAATCTATGTTTCTCATTCCAAATATACCAATGAATTGAGTGGCAGAATTGATGATATTACTTCACAATTCGAGTCATTAAATACCAAACAGTGTATTCAGGAATACCAAAAATACAAATAGATACATGGCATAGAAGCAGCAGTGGACCCAGTGGAATAAAAAGAGATGTAATAATAGAAAGTCCTAGAAAAATTAAAATCAGGATTGATGAACAACATTCCAGAATCATCCAAATCAAAAATGAAGAAGATGAAACCCCTTGTCAGCAAAAGAAGAACAAATTTCAAAAATTGTCTATGAACTGGGAAATAATGATGCTTATTTTATTTCACTAGGAGATCAAGTTTACCCACGAGTCATAGTAATGAAGGGAGCAGATCCAGTGATGACAAAAATGTTATATGATTATGGATTCCTTGATCTTATCTATCCCAGTACAGATCTTAAGGAAGTTGAAAAATTCGACGATATATTTAAATCTGAGATATCAAAATTTGCAAAAAGAGGATCAATCTATCTAAAATTTTATTCAATAAGCCCTGAACGAGATGGAAGGATATTTTATCAAACATAACATATTATAACAATTGAATATGTTGGAAGGAATTTCCAGATTGAAGTTGGGAAGGAAGATAGACCAGTCCCAAAAATAACCAAGTCATAGATAAAGTCCAGAAGAATCTTGGACATAAAAGTTCTTTACAATATTGCAAAAAAACTTTATGAAAAGAAATTTAGATGCCTTTGCCAGTATGAAAAATGGACTTTAGTTACAAACAATGAAAAAGAAAAATCTAAAATTCGAAAAAAATACATTGAGCGATTTGAAACTCATAGAATCAATGGAAGCATATCCACCATACAAGAGGCATGCAGACTAAAAGAATGCCCCACATGCCTACAGAACTGGTGGAAAGATTCCTTCAAAATAAGATGTGAAGGAAAGATAGACAGCTGTTTACAATAATAGAACCACAATAATGTAGTAGTTAGACTCTTGTAATAATAGGACTCTATTATTGGAGTAGTAATGTAAGTAATGATGTAATAATTATACACCATATAGTTGTATAAATAGAGGCCTTCGGGCTAGAAGAAGATCAGAATGAGTAGAGCGCTCAACTTGTGAGACAGCCAAAACCTTCTGTTCTTTGATATAATTTTGTATCAATTTTTGATAAATCAATAATATACAAATCTTTTCATAAAAATATGAGTTTTTAAACTTCCTATCCCATAGATTCTTGAAAGGTTGAAGAAGAGATTTATTT